GCAACTGTTTGTGTTGGCGGAGTCAAATAACTGATTAAACAAACACACAAGTCCGACTCTGTTGTCACTTATCAGTGTCATATAAATAATTGCTTTTTGTAAGTCTGGGTTATCGCAGCCGTAACGCACAGAGGGTTACCCCGTTGTACTGCGTAACAGCACTCAGTCTGTGAACTCGTGCCAACATCTACAATTCATTACAGCAGCTTTTAGGCTAATTCAGAGGTTCTATTGTCATCACAGCGACACAAATATAAATCATCCCTGCAGCGTGCTCCTAACACTAGTGTTAGATAAATGCATTAATGAATGAATACAGTTGGTGTACATTATATGGGATGAAGTTGGAGAGTTCTTAGACAAGTGATATCATTTCAAAAGGTGTGGGCTCCGACGGCTCCGACGAGTGTCATCTCTATATTGTTATATTGCTGTGTTGTTTATGTGAGTCTCAAAAACCATTTCAAAATCAAAACAAACATTAAATTTTAACCACACCAACCACAGGCAAAATATTAAATTCTTCTTCCATTCGGATTAAATCTATCAAGCTAATCCATCTAATAATCCAATGAACATTGGAGGAGAGAATGAAACCTGTAAAAAAAAATTTCTTACACAAAATTGTATAAACATATAGATTTGTCCTAGAACTTTTTGACTCACCCTGACAGTCCAGCTGCTGCAGCTTTACTGACGTGTGTCAGATGGTGGTGCTTTGTTCTGCGGTTTCTTGTTAAGTTTTAACTGCTCAAATGTGGGATTTGGTCCATATCTGAACGACTTCTTATTGAACCACTCCTGACGTGGCCTCTGTCCACACCTGTGCTTCAGCACTGCCATAAATATTTCACTACAAATAGAAATTGTTGCGTACTTCCCAGTTAAGAGTTGTCTCTCTTCTTAAGTTACTACAACACTGAATCACGCAGACACTAAGACAGCAGCTGCTCATAAACACAGCAGAGACGGCCAACACTGTCGCTGGTATTCCAAGAGGTTTTTTTCACAGGCGTTTTGTACCTTTCAGGTCAACAGAAGTCAGTGAAGACAACGCTGTAGTGAGAGGAAGTTCATTTATTCATCCATCTTCTACTGTGAAATCCTTTTTCGGGGTTTTAGGGCCAACTGGAGCCAATTCCAGCAGACCAGGGCTACGTGCATCTTGGACCGTTTGCCGGTCTATCACAGAGCCACACACAGAGATCAACAACCATTCACAAACACACACACACACACACACACACACACTTAGACCTTTGGAGAGTAGAGAGAATGTCCAATTAACCAGAGAAAGAGACAGAGGAAACGCACACACACAGGGAGAACTGCAAACTCTACACAGAATGACCACTAGTTGCGTGATGGGCTCAAACCTGTGACCTTCATGCTGTACGGCAGGCGATCTCACCACTGTATCACAATGTAGTATTTAATCCAACAAGTGCGTGTCATCATCTGCTTTATATATATATATATATATATATATATATATATATATATTTGTGAAATAGTTTCTGCCCAGTCACATTTAAAAGCAGATTTATTTTTACTTGTTCATTTTTATGGCTAATCTAAATGTTTGACTGAATATCTAGGCTAGTTTGAATATCTGGTCTAGTCATAATATCTGGTGTTTTGGGAGCAGTTTGTGTTTTTTGACAAAAACGCAGCTGCGGGTTTGTAGCCCAGGTCGTCAACAGTAAACTTGACACTGACACCGGTCATTTTTTTCATGGTTTAACAAATGGGTGTATAACGGTTTGACACATTGTGATGAAACTGTAATAAACCTTTTTGATGTGACTGTAACTGACCTGTCAATTCGGTAAACAGAGATTTGTGAGCAATACCTGAGGGCAGAAACAACAGCACACGTTGAAAGGCAGAGAAGAAAAGCACCTCTGCTTATGGAGATTCATGCTGCCGCTGCAGGGACCTTGGATTGGAGTGTAGCAGGAGATTACAGAACAATACATGGCATTTACACCTCAACATATGGGCTTGCATTTAAAACACCTCTCTGTGTGAATAAAGGATCTGCTGAAGGCACACTGTACATGCATATGAGTTGCTATTATTATTATCATCGCTGTTCGGCAGTTGCCTGTCACTCCAGGGCTGTGGGAGCTGACAGTATGTACACATGAGAGCTGTGTGTTTTACACTTCCTGGGTGTTTGTTGCACATGTGGACACTGTCAAAAAATAATGCAGAAAATCAGAGTCAGTTTGATATTTGCACATGATGCGGGGTTCATTTATGATCAGCCCTTCAGCTCCGGGTGTCTCCATGCCTCAGATTCTGACATTTTGGGTGCTGCCTAGAATAAACATGGGGATTCTCAGCCATATGAGAAGTGAGCAGCAGCAGCAGCAGCAGCAGCAGCAGCAGCAGCAGCAGCCGCTGCCCTGTCAGGCACTCAAAGAGTATAGGAGTGAAGTCAAAGCCGACTCAGATCTCAGCCCGATGAAACATTAAACTCACATCCAGATATTCAGTGATTGTCCTCTTCTATTGCTGTGAATTGAATAAAATTAGGTCATACAAATTTAAAAAGCAGTCATCATTTATTTACCATACTCTGTATCGTATTTTCATTTTGAAACATGGATCTCTCTCGCAATTTCTCAGGCTGCAGCTCCTCGTCTTTTTCTTCACTTCAGTCTCTATTTCACTCACCCACAAGTTCACATAAATGGGTTATCAGTGATCGTCACTGTTCTAATAAGAACTCATCCCTGGCTGCACACAGCAGTTCCTTTTAGACAGTTAAAATAAATAAATAAATAATAATAAAAAAAACAACAACAGGTGATATGAGTCAGGTAGCATGTTGGAGCTGTCCAGGGTGCTGATCACACTGCCGTCTTTTTCCTGTCAGGAATAATAGAAGCAGCTGAACTTCAGATGGATGATTTTTTTATACCTGTTTATTTGGCTGTGTATGTTCTACCTCCATGTTTATCTTTGGGTGGCTGAGATTTGACGAGCTTTGTGGGTAATTTTTTTTTGTGTGTACTCATTTGTTCCCTGCTAATGGGTAAGCACTGTTAATGTGACAGCTTATATTTTCTATGCAGGTTCTGTTTGTTCCTTTGTTTTTACTGTCAGTGTGACAGTGTTCAAAGTTACTGTTTGTACCTTGTTGGCTGCCGTATCTGACTGTTTTTGTTTTTCAAGTAGCGTTTGTGATTTTGCCAATATACTTAAACCCACTGGCACGTACTGTGTCGATGTGTTTTTATACTTCTCTTTGGAGGGTCACTGAGTTTGACCAGCTGAAAGGAGGCTATGAAGGAAACTCTGAATATGTATAGGACAGAATACATCTCTTGCTGGGCTGGGGGTATTTGGGAATCCCAGAAGTGCTGTAGAAAATTGCTGGAGGAAAAAGGGAAAATAATTTACTACAAATGGCACAGGAGGAAGTGAAGCCCATATACCCAAGCAGAAATCCTTTACACAGTGCTTCACAGTCTGCTCAGGCAACGTGACAGCTATCTTAGCTGAGAATTTCCCATGAAATTAATTTTTCATTGTATTTAAAATGTTCATTTGCATGAAACTGTCTCCTGAGTTTCAAAGTTGGGTACATTAATTAACTGTGACATGTCCAGGTCAGGAAGTATCACTATACAATTACAGTGGAAAATTCAAGAAGGAGTAAGTGGACCCACTACTAATAAGCACTGCTTCCAACAACCTTTGTTTCAATGTCATAGAAAATACTTTTGTACGTTGGCTCAATATAAACTCTTGAGGACCATATAGTGTAGAGTGTAACATTTACTACATGGCTGTTGTTTTCTAAGATCAACCTATTTAGCTGTGCAGCAGATTTGTTTCACCCAGAGTGAGATATTGAGATTATTTCCCCAGAAATGCAGTACAACGTTGCAATGATTGGAAACGTTTACTCCAACATCTTCCAGTGTGGCGTCAACCTCTGAAGTGAGCTAATGTCACTTTAAAAGTACCTTTCAAAATGTGGTATCCCATACCAATAGGAACTCATGGCAGCCATGTTAATCCACTGTTGAGCTACCCTAGGATCAAGCAGTTCCAAAATCAATAAAGCCATGAAGGCCTGCCTTCAGGTCCTCATCACATCCTTTATATCCACCAGTTAATGCAATCTGATACTGTGTTGCCCCGGTGCCTCGTGGGTATGAACATCATCCAATCTAACCCTCTTTTTTTGTATTTTATTTTAGGTTTTTCTATGAATATTTACACTTTTTGCTCTTTGCACTGTAATAGCATAATCCAGTTTCACAGCCTGAGGAAACATCAGTTCTTGTTATTTTTAAATCATACAGCATGTGGAAGCACAATAACTCAAGGAGCTCGACTCGGTAAAAGTCTCAAATTAATTCAACTTCCAGTGTTGTTCAAGGATGCAATTTTTTATCAATTCGTAACAGAGACTCAGAGTTCTTTCTTGGTTTACCGTAAGTGCTTAGCCATATTTAACACAGTTTGTCATTGCATTATCAAACTATCAGAAAAGGCAGTAAATGTTTTGAAAGAATATATATTGGTTTAACCCAGTGAATATTAAAATACCCCACCCCCGAAAAAAAGAGAAAAAGTATAAAAAACACTCTCACCAAACCTCTCCTGTAGGGTGTGCTGATGAGCACAGGTCAACGGAGCTCTGAATGATTTGGGTGCACATTACTAACTGCCCCCTGTATACAGACTGAATTGAATTGAATTGAATAGAATAGAATTGAATTGAATTGGAATGCAGCCTGTTACTGTGTCGTGTTTGCTCCTGGCTGTTTCTCATTTCAGTTTTGTATAAGTTTCTCGTTATACTTGTTGGTTATTTGCCTGTATCAAAAAAATGTTTTTTTTTTTCATTTCCACCTTAGCAGAAATGAATATAATCTGACATTAAAGTATAGTATTTGAGCAGGTACTGTTTGGTGTCCAGTCTGACAGTATCTGCCTGCTGTGTACAACTAAAGTAAAGCCATAGTTCTCTCGTTAGGCTACAGTCTGTGTTTGTCTTATGTGGAGAAAAGAAAAAGAGAAAAACACGTTTTTGCACCTGTATATTCAACAGTGTTATGTTATCATATGCCTCTGTTCGCCCACCTTGTGTTTCTCCACACCCCCACAGCCGCTACACAAACGTACGAGGCTGGACTCCACTCCATATTTTGTATTGCGCTTTGCGTTGTTAGTGCATTTGATCTGGACGACTCGGAGCGTTCCGTACTCTCTCTCTCTCTCTTTCTTTCTCTTTCTCTCTCTCCCGCTCTCTCTCTCTCTCACACACACAGCGTTGCCACTTGCGCACAGCTGCCAGAGGCTTCGTCTGCTCAGGCAAGTTGAGTCAACAGCGGCGAGGGAGAAACGCGAAGCGTGGATTCATGAGGCACCTCCAAACACACACACACACAGACACACACACACAGAGACACACACACAGGCTCTCTCTCCTCTTGACTGCGGCGCCTGGGGACTTTTAATCATTCTCGGTTGCACCAGAAACCACGTTGACTTTAGGAAATGTGTTGGTAGTCACTGATCATCGGAGTTGCGACCATTAAAAAAACGCCCGCTCATTAAGAATAAACGGATCTGCTGCAGGAAGAGGGACTTTTCACTGGCTGCTGCAGGACAAGCTCTAAACAATAAGGATCTTGACTGAGGTGAACAATGCTGAGACCGGAGACCGTCCTTTGCACTTTCTCTGTGCTGTGGGTTGCAGCAAGAGCAGATTTTAAAGCCAGGAATTGCAGCGAGGTGCGGGAGGCTTGTGTCAGCAGAGGCTTCAGCTTCGCACATGTTCCTCTGCAGGAGATCCCAGGTAAGAACCACAAGTCCTGCCTACACATGCACGGCATTATGGTTTTATTTATTTATTAGTATTTATGCTCATCTGTGTGGTTCATTAACCCTCCTCTATATCAGTTATGATGCCGGGAACTGAACCTCAACCACCTGTCACTCACTAAGTTGCTCTGAGCTCCACTTGGGTTGAGCTTTATTCCTCCCAAAGTATTTTTGTTGTTGTTTTTATTCTACCTACTGTTGCCAAATTGTCCTAATTGACGTAACAGGATGGAGAGCAACAGCTGGAGCCGCCTCCTGCATCCCACTGCCCTGCACCACACAAGTGACATACCCTGCTGTAATCAGCATTTAAAGCACTCCAACACACACACACACACACACACACACACACCTCCCAACTCCCCAAGAGTAAATGTGATTGAATATTCATGCTGAGAGAACCGTATCCCCTAATAACAGGCAGCGTCAACAGCGGCAGACCCCCACAGCCCGCTGCCTTAAGTCCCGGCCTGGCCCTGGTTTGTGGCAGTGCTAACCAAGCAGAGATAATGAACGGTCAACTGACCAGATTAACTCAGGTTCCTGCAAAAGATGAGATGATTAGGTGAAGTGGAACTGCTGGCTGCTGCAATACTCTGCCCATGGCCATGAATCAGTGGCTCGACTTAAGTTCAGCCTCTACCTTCTGTGAGTAATTAAAAAAAATCTGCATCAGTGTCCTGTAAACTCTAATTTTGTTGGGCCACAGGGTTCACGATGTGGTCTCACAGCAAGAATGGTCATCGATTCAAAGGTTGAGTCTTTTAGTGTGGAGTTTGTGTATTCCCGGTGGTTTTCTCACACTGACCACTTTAAACTGACCATAGGTGTAAGTCTGAGTGTCAGTGGTTGTTGGTTTCAAGATTGGACTTTGTGATGGACAGGAAAATTGTCCAGGGCGTAGCTCGCCATCACTGAGTCAGTGTCTGCAGGGATTGGCTTCAAGATAAATGAATTAATAGACTGGTTTCTGTCAACGGTCTAAAAAAGTAAAAAGCAACCAAAAAAAGCAACCTTTTCTTTTTCTTTGTGTTGTTATGCAAAAGTTCTTGGTGCAATTACCACCTGGCCCAGAAAGCGAGGATTGTTTGCCTCTTGTAGTATAAAACCCTGGCCATGATGTAGACCGTTACCATGGTGACCCCTGATTAAGGGACAAGCCAAAAATGAATCTTGTCATTCTTAAAAGTTGCAAGATTCCAGAGATTCCATTTCTATATATAAATATATTTTAGTCTACATTAGTCTATGTCTATTCAGGTTTTTTATTGCCCTTGCTGAGTTGCCCCATTCCTAATTGTCACTGTTATGCTTCAAGGCCAATGGTGCTTGACAATATGGCTGATTTGACATCCAGCCCACCTGTTTAGAGAAGGGCTGGATCACAAACTGACTGACGCCTTTTGGTTCCAGGTCGCTGACATCACAACTAATCTTCCAGACGAGTGAGAAATTCACTCTCATATTCCAATTGGTGTCACCCTGAATGGAGGCTTTTGATCAGGTCTTTGAATGGCTCATAACCTTTCTGCCAGAGCGACAACACGTTATCAAGATCTCAGCAAATTGCAAACGCTGATGGGCATGTCCTTGAAGCTTGACTGAGTGACTGGCTGCCTTTCACTCATGCAAACAATATTGCAGTCAATTTGAATTACACCTTCAGTGAAAGAGGAAGCAGCTAATAGTTCAAAAATACCCATTTGGTATTTTTGCTACCTTTTAAAAAGCTGGAATGGAAATTTGCTGGGTTTTCATACAACGGGGGAGTTAAAATATTTATATAACAGACTGAACATTTTTTTTAATGAAATTTATTAGAATACTATTACAAAGCCTTTTTTCAAAAACATTCCCTCCATTTCCAATCTTATTATTTCAATCAAGTTCTTTTTAAAATGTCCTTTCATTTATTTTTCAAGTCACTTGATGTTAGCTCTGATTTGAACTTTGTTGGGATTGAAACCTGAACCTGAACCTGATCAGATAAAGCTCTAGACTCAAATGTCTAAATAAAAATAGGTGTCTGGACAAAATCTGAGGTTTGAGACATAATGAGAGACAGGATTTACGCGTTCCTTCCAAATTCTAACATCTGTCTTAGAATTTTTTGACTTGTTGATGATGACATTGATGATGGAAATTAGTATCAACCTGATTTATACTGTTTCCCCACAGGTGTTATACTTTAATGACCACTGGCCAGAGATCTAAAACTGGCTGTGAAACAGTCAGAAAAACAACTTGTGTTTTTTTTTGTATCTAAAACAATAGGGGAGGATGATGTTTACACAGTTGAAGGTGTTTTTCTAACAGTGGATCTTATTATGACACAACACATCACTGGCTCTGAGGAAAGATACCCGTGTTCTTTCCACTGTCTCGTTACCGCTGCATCCATCCGACAGTGACCGAGCAGGGAGGGACAGTTGCTGTTGCTCCTTTGGATGAAATGTGTTGGCAAAAGAGAAGGAGTTTATGTTTGATGGTGAATATTTAGATGCTTTTGGAAAAATGTGATAAAACCAGGTTCAACAGAAGGTGTGTTGCTCTGGGACTGGCATCAATGGAATTATGTAATCTCTTGACCGTCAGCATCTATCCTTGTTGTACAATTTGGGATGCAGCCCATTATTTGCGAACCATTGTTTTATAAAATCTCTAATGCGATGTAATTAAAGGCAAGGTATCGTGTGTAAAGGGAAAAAAAACCAATAACAATATGTTCCAGATAATTGAATGCAGCTGGTACTCAGTGTTATTTGTTCCAAATACTGACAGGGTTAGGATACCCGTGTCCAAACAAGACATTAGAGCTGAGTTAATATTCCATTACTTGTAGATTTAGTTAGTCCTTGTGAGCTGCAGTGAAGGGCGGCTCTTGAAGTCTCCTGTGCCGCTTATTGTTTCTGTCAGCTTTACAGCTGCTATCACACTCTATTAACTCACAGACGGTTGGGAAAAAAACGTCACATAGTGTTAGCGCTACATTTACTGTATACAAATGACACTCATTCTGTTTCCACGTACTGTACGTTAATGTGAACTGGCGGCTCTTTACGTGCTCGTTTTTCTTAAAATCAAAATCATCTGATAAACACAGCAGTCTAAAGTCAAACTGTTCTGACAGACGTGCATCTTTAGGTCCAAGATCCAACGCTTAACTTTAAATCCATCTATATTCATCTCCAGTGTGTGAAACAATTTGATTTGCTTGGTCATTGTTAACATACCCATTCTGCCGCTTTTTGGTCTTTGTGAACAGAAATTGTTTTAAATTGTTTGTCAAACATGTCCGTCTAAAAAAAGAGGCTTCATAAAGCATTTGCCCATGTTTGGTGGGAGGAACGTGCATTTATCTTGTCAAACCAATGGAAGAGCACTGACTGTCTGTAGCTTTTCAAACGTGCATTAATCAGACGTTTGATTTGAAAATGATACATTGGCCACATTGACTGAGGGCAGGGCAATGTCAGTACCATCACGTGATCTTGGTGCAACGAAGCTGTACACGCTACAGCTACGCTGCCGCACATGGCCTTCTGTACATATTAGCTGTTAGCTAGTTAGTTAACTGTGAATGAGAAATCTTTGTACATTGCTTTTCGCTGAATATTGTGCTACCCGTCCTTTGTGGTTACAGTGTTAATTCAGGGAGATGGTGATTTGATACTTTAGCATTCAAAAATGCTACCGCCACTATGCTTTTTTTACTTTAGCAACTGCCGCTGTTTGTTTAGAAATACTGTCATTGGTTTTACCTTTGTTTGTTGCTGTCATTTGTTTTACGAGTGAGGTGTTGGCAATCCTTTTTAATTAATATTGTTGTTATAGGGCTTCACTACTTTGTTTGATTTTGAAATGTGCCAAAAATGCATTGTGTATGCAGCGTATGTGTAAGAGCATGATCTGTCTTAGCCTGATTTAAAAAAAAAAACATTTAATTACATTTATCTACCTAAAATATTATACATTTTTTTCTTTAAATCTGTATATTTTTTTGTCATACAAACCCGAAAATTTGTTTTTCACAAATCTCCAGACAGATTAGTCAAATTAGCTTTTTTCACTCTTTTTAGTGAGGCACTCGTTGATGAATCATGACAAAAATAACTATAATAACAGCAGAACAAAAATCAAAAATTCGTGGCTTTGACTATTGTGCTATTGGTCAAAGAAAAGGAACCAGGTCAGGTGAAGTGACACCATTGGAGTCAGTGTTATTGACTGGTATGTTGTTATAATGTTGAGCCTAAAGGCTCTGTTGATAAAGTAATTCCACAGGACCACTGCAGTGCTTCTGCCTGCTGACCGGGGCAGGCTGGAGGCTGTCAGCAACAACTCAGTAAAGGCATTTCGAACCATGGGAGCATGAGAATCAGATTGCTGTATGTGTTCACATGCCTAGAAATGCCAGCAGCACCTGCCTCGTGCTGCATTTATTACCTGCTACATTCTGGCTCCTACCAAACTCTTAAAAACCCTTTCAATTTCAAACGAAGTCCCTAAATTCAATTTTGAATGCCGCTCCTCAGCGCTCCAGTTAGAGAGGAGACCCGCTCCCACTTTTACCTCCTCGGTTTTCTTCTCAGTTTCCACTCAGTGGATTACTCAACGTCTGAGACAAGACTGGAAGATAAGGAAAGTGAGTCACACAGCCAACTGCTGGACTCAATGGAACTTCCTTGTATGTCTTATTCTGTCATGCTGTCACCTGACGTGCAGTGCTGTTTACTCCAAACTGGGAGATGGAGATGGGACCGAAATAATGCTGTTGATATCTAGTGTGATCCCTGGCTGCCTGAACAATAAGGCAAATGATCTCTACTGAAGCGTGAAATGTGCGCAGGTTCTCCACTGTCATGTAATGAGATGGGGGAGATTAAAAGGAGCTAAATGGAGGTGCTTGTAGAGGGAAATTGCTGGGTGACTTTGTTTGCTCCTGCAGCATGGCTGTGATGCATTGTCACTTTG